ACCCGATACCAGAACATCTTAGGTTAGGTAATTACTCCATACTTCGATTAATTCCGATTGTAACCCGGGAGTAAGAGCAGGGAATTTTGACTTAAACCATACCGGCCCTCGAAGCATGTCACTTACTTTCCCTTGATGTACGGTGAAGGGGGCCAAGTTCGACTCAAAGTGCAATCGAGTCAACAAAAATCGTAGGTAATTTTGATAACTGGCCTCGTCAGGTTTGTGGTGAGAGTGTCAAGTAGACAATCGAGCACCTTCCAAATTTAAACTTAAGGGAATGTTGGAGGTTAGAGGGATGATACTTTCAAAAACTGAGGTAAGCCATAATTGGATGAACCAAATGGGACCTGAAAAATTCCCCGAGGCCCTGAGGGTATTCAAAATATCGACAGCTTCATCGAAAGAAGTATAAACATGGGCCAATAATAACTTTGCTAAATTAATTCGTGGATGGCCAGTGTGGAGAAGATAGGCAAGATTATAAAGGTGGGATGATATCTGGATGGACCGAGGGCAAAAAACGTGGGTGCAAAGCCAATACACCAGGAAGGCCACGTGCTCTTCATCAGAAACAGCCACTGTGTGATCATCGATAAAATGTTTATCGAGAAAATATCCATAAGCCTTCGATTCCCAATCGATTTTCGACCTTAAAGAGTTATCCGAAGGGAAAGCACCCTTATAGTATTTCTCCCCCGTGGGCTTTAATCCAGTAATAGCAGCAATTTCGAAAAGGGTGGGCGAAAAGGGGCCACATGGAAGTTCCAATGCATGTAAGTCTTTATTCCATAAATGAACGGCGGATAAAAACATGGACATATCTAAAAATGATAGATCACACCGAGACAAATGCAGGAAATCGAAAATCCCTACATCCCTCCAATGGTTCCCAAACTTAGTTTTAACTCGATCAAACCATCTAATGTACAAGGATTTTTTGTGAGGAGGGCATGTTCGATATACTTTAGAAACGATTTGCAGAAAATCTATTCGAACCTCAGACTGATGGATAAGAACCTTACTCTCCGAAGGAAGGCTAAGAGAAGAAGAAAACGATCCGCCACAATAGCGGATAGGACCACCAAATGCATAAGTTACATTATCAGCAACATAAGGGATGGGTACCTGAGTCTCGGCAACCCGTTGTGAGGCTTCTTCCATCAAAGGGACTGGCGCAAACTTCTTCCCATTAAGCTCTATTAGGTTGGAGGTCACTAAGGAAAGTGGTGGGGCGGAGAAATCAGAGGATCTGGAGGTTGCCATTACAGTAGATAGAAAATGGAAGACGTAAGGTTGAAGAAAGGTTGAAGATGAGGAAGTGCAACGAAGGAGAACTGAGATTCGTGGTAAAAAACAAGGGTAAAAGCTGATAAAAGTATTTTAAGAGGCCGAGTTAGGGTATTTGAAACGACGGATGTAAAGAGGGTAATTAATGTGGCATGTGCAGTATGACAACAGAAAGGAGGCGATTTGATGGGTGACATAAAGCAGAAAAAACCCCCATAAACCCTAAAACCCTAAAAGTTATTTTGGGCCTCTAGGATGTTTGAAGGCAGGAAGCATTTTGAAAGAATATAAAATAAAATTGGTATAAATATTTATATTCTTCCAAGGGGGCATTTTGTTAGTGGAAAATCGATACAAGGATCGAAAAACAAAAGAGAAAAATCGAAGATCACATGAGTGGTGGGAAGATACCCGGTGACCACTAGTGTGAACGCGTAGATCGAAAGTGGGAATCAAAAATCAAGAAACAAATTGAATCGATGAAGGTAATGATAAAATAGGTCAAGGAAAATCGTATTCGAGAGTTGGAATTGAGAATCGAAAGAAATACAGGAAATTCGATGATCATGGGGAAGAAAAATCGATGAAAGGTATTAAGTATGAAGTTAAATGGAAAGCCAGAAAATATTAAATACTCGATGGATGAGGTCAAGATCAAAAGAACGGTTATTACGCACATGGAACGTGGGAAACAGTTTTCTCAAAGCCGCAACTAAGATAAAAATCGAGAGATAGTTAACGTACGTGCACATGGAACGTGGTGGCAGTTTTCTAAACTGCTCTTAGGAAGTTACGTTGAAGCAGGACCTATAAATAGAATGAAGCATGAAGAAGAAAGGGAAATTAGCAGAGACAAAAGAAGCGCAAGTGAACAGTCTACAGGAGAACGACGCATCATGAAGTTTCTAATGCTCTGGATTTCCGCTTTAGTTGATTATCTTTATCGCTTTCTCTATTTTCCCTGGTAATTTACTTTCATTGTAGTTTATGTTTGTCAAACTTTAAGTTTTATCTTTTCGATTTTCTGTCGTTTACTTTGGTACAAGTTCAGGTTATGCGTTTAAGATCCTTGCTATTTATATTTCCGCAATTTCGATTCTTTGCCTTTTTATATTTAACGCAAATTTGAGGTTTCCGTACTTTTACATTTTTCTGCAATTTAATATTTTGCACTATTTTTCGATTCTCATTCATTTTTCGATTGAAAACCGTTTGCTAGCCTAAATAAAAAGAATCTACGTGATTAAAATTTGATTAGAACCTAAGTCTTGATTTAATCAAAATCGATCAAATTTTCACCAGAAACAATATCATAACTTTTTGGATTTGGATTTAGAGATTATTGCGGTTTTTTTATTGTGTAGTAAAGTGTTCACGTATATGATATATCATAACTTTCGGATTTAGAGATTATTGCGGTTTTTTTGTTGTGTAATTCTTTTTTAAAGTAAATTTTAAAAAATTATAAATTTGGATAAATCCTGATAAGAAGTATGACTTTAACATGAAGAATTCGCATTTCACGATTTCAAATTTTAAATTTTTTTTTAAAAACAAATCATGCTAGATAATCGATATCGAAATCAACTTCTAATTTTATATTACAACAATTTTTATTATATTATTACAACTAATAATAATATATTTTATTTTGTTTAATAATAAAATAAATAATACTAATAATAATAATAATAATAATTAATATATTTTATTTTGTTTAATAATAAAATAAATAATAATAATAATAATAATTAATATATTTTATTATTAAAATTGTTAATTATTTTATTATTAAACAATATAAAATATATTATTATTAACACTCTAATAATAATAATATTAAAAATATTATAATTAAAATTATTAATATTATTATATTAGTAATATTATTTTAATTTTATTATTAATAATAGAACAATACTAAAAATAATAATACTATTATTATAATTATATAAAATAAAAAATAATATTAATAATAAGATAATTATATTAAAAGTTATAATTCTAATATTTATTTATTATTAAAATAATAATAATAATAATAATATAATAATAATAATAAATAAAAGAATTATAATAATACAATTATCTTGTTATCAATATTATTTTTATTAATAAAATTAATAATAATATAATTATTAATTTAAATTCAATTCTTATTATTATAAAACGAATGATTATTAATAAAATTATATTATTATTAGATATAATAATTTAATTATAAAAAATAATAATTAAATTTGTATTATTAATACTAAAATAATAATATTATTAATAATTAAATTGGCATTATTAATACTAAAATAATAATAATAATAAATAATAGAATTATAGTTATTAATATAATTATTTCATTATTAATATTATTTTTAATTAATATAATTATAATTATATCATTATTAATATTATTTTTAATTAATATAATTATAATTATATCATTATTAATATTATTCTATTATTTATAAAAAAATAAAAATAAAAATAATATTAATAATTATAATTATATTATTTGTAATAATATTATTATTTTAGTATTGATAATAATACGATATTAATAAAAATAATAAATAAATAATAATTTTAATAGTAATATAAATTTAATTATTATTATTATTTATTTTATTATGAATAATATAAATATATTATTATTATTATTAGTTATAATAATATAATAATAATTATTATAATATAAAACTAGAGATTTTATGATTCAAATATCAGTGTAAAAAAGACGGTTTTTTTAACTTCTAAATATTTTCTAGTGGTGATGTGTCCAATCAAAATTATTATTCAAAATTTGTGCACTTGCTGTAAAAAAGACGTTTTTTTTAACTTCTAAATATTTTCTGGTGGTGATGTGTCCAATCAAAATTATTATTCAAAATTTATGCATTTGCTCTAAAATACTAAATCTGTCTGTAGGTATTTGCAGAATTTTAAAAAAGGATTATTTTTTTAACCAATATTAGTTTTATTGTTGCAGGCACGCGATTTAGTTAGCTGGGTAATTAACAAAATAGAACGATAACAGACTGAAGAAATGTGAACTGTGTATGTAATGTGGAAGTAATAAATGGAGACAGGTTTGAGGAGCTGTGTGTGTAGACAATAATATAGAAAAACAAAGGCTTTCTGATGAATTTGTGGAGATCTGACCACTTTGGACAAGTGAGTTGAGATTGGCTTGATTTGTTTATAACACAAAAACCACATTTCTATACTCTGCCGCATGGTCCAACAGTGTTTCTTCTATTCAACATTTCTACTCACGAAATTACATTCCACTCCCCTTATTTCTAGTCTAGCTCAGTCATATAGTCCTAGTACCTGGCCAACCTCCCATGAATCCTTCCTTGTATACCTCAAAATACCATTGGTTTGTATCTGGTTATTTTGAATCTTGATTTATGACATCATCTTAGTGCAACGTTTTATTCTGAGAATTAAAACTATAGACAAACCTGTGATAGCTTGGGAGATGTTTAAAACATTGTACCAGATTTCAAAGTTCAAATACTTGTACGCCATCAGGAGCCAACTTATTTATGAAACCTGACATAAATTCAGTAGGCTCCCTGTTCTAAAATTAATAATATCAAAATGACAAATCCTATGAGCAATTAAATGTACAGAGCTCGTCGTTGGAACTTATATAATGACAACACCATCCAATGATCAATCGGCAGTTTTCAAATTTGATAAGAGTTAGTATGTCCAAATTTGATAAAATGTTGGTAGCTTTGATCATCTTTGCACTCTTACCCAACATTATCCAAGTGGATGCCAACTTTTCCAAGAGTATGCACCTCACTTGGGGAGTTCAACATGCGTCAATTCAGGGTGAAGACCTTCATCTTGTGTTGGATAAAACCTCAGGTGAAACATTTATACTTAACACGCATGAATTCAGATTTCAATTTGTGGCCAGAAAGCATCCAAGAGATACGAACAATTAGAAAAATTACAAAATTAGTCGCATTTTCAATGTATTGCAATTGTATACAAGTGGAAAAGAATGATAACAGGGTCTAATTTTATAACATTTAAGTCCTAAATATCTGAGCATCACAATAATATGTTCATATAGCACTTACACAATACTTCTGATCAAACTAAACATTGTGTGATCTAAAGTAATATAATAATATAAATAGTAAAAATGCATTCATCTGTTACTAGCTAGGTGGAACAATGTGGTGTTGTTGCCTTTGGATTTCAGGGTCAGCTGCTCGATCGAAGAGATCATTCTTATTTGGAAGCATTGAAATGCTAATCAAGCTGGTACCTGGTAATTCTGCCGGCACAGTTACAGCATACTATGTAAGTTCACCGCATCCAAGAGATCTCAAAAACACCAAAATTTATACATTTGAACAACCAAATCAATAAAACTTTCATTACTATAAGAAATGTTAATTATTGTTTATTGCTCAAATCCATACAGTTATCCTCTCCGGGAAGTCAGCATGATGAGATAGACTTTGAGTTCTTGGGAAACAGTACAGGACAACCATACACTGTCCATACTAACTTATACACAAAAGGAAAAGGAGGCAAAGAGCAACAATTTTACCTCTGGTTTGACCCTACGGCTGATTTTCACAATTACACCATTCACTGGAATCCCACAGAAATTGTGTAAGTTGATAAAATTTACCAGAGCATAAAGTATTCATTTTTCTCAAATTGCTTGTGATCCATTAACTAGAATCTGTGCCTGGTACCTCAGGTGGTATGTTGATGGTGTGCCAATCCGTGTTTTCCGAAACCAGGAAAAAGAGGGCGTTCCTTACCCAAACAAGCAAGGAATGAGGGTTTACACCAGCCTATGGAATGCAGACAACTGGGCAACCAGAGGCGGCCTTGTTAAGACAGACTGGAATCACGCACCATTCACGGCCAGATTCCACCATTTCAGAGCAAGGGCTTGTAAGTGGGTTGGAGCGAGTAGCATCCATCAATGTGCCTCCAATGCCCCTGCAAATTGGTGGACTTCCCCCAGATACAAGAAGCTGAGCCACACCCAGATGGGGCAGCTGAATTGGGTCAGAGAGAATTACATGATCTATGATTACTGCACAGATAAGAAAAGATTCAACGGACACATGCCTCCAGAATGTTTTAAACCACAATACTAAACATCCGATTCGTATTTTCAGCAGTCAATTTTCCACCATTCATACAGCGATTCATATTATTTCTTTCAAAATAAAACTTACAACATGTACTATAAATCTGAACCATCCTATCATCACCTAATAATCACAACAAATTCGTTCACTGTGGAATGTGTGGAAGTGCAACTGCATCTGATCGCCACGGTTTTAAGGCAACGCATCACGGCAGCTGAAGTTGTTTCTTTTCCTTTTTTTCATATCACATCTGATTGTAATTTGTCACGGTCTTGGTGATTCCATTCTTGTTCACAATGTACTGAATAATGCTTACTGATCTCTTATCTATTTTAGAATAAATTATGCGATACAGGAATTTGCAAAGTGTACCCTAGGCATGTAATGGATTTTGAGTCTCGTGAGACTTAACTAAAATCGGAGTAATAAAGATTAAAAAAATGATTTTACAGAGATGGTGGGAAAGCTTGGACTAGGAGTTGATGCAGAAGCAGAGACCGAGGACGATGAGAACGGTACCGAAGAAAGCCCGGGGGAGGTGTGTGCGTTCCCCGAGGAGGATGCCGAAGACGGCGGTGGCGGCGAAGGTGGTGGCGTTGGTGACGGGGACGGCGAGGGAGAGCGGGGCATCGGAGAGAATGGCGAAGAAAGTAGCGGAGGCGGAGAGGTTTATGAGGAAGGGGATGGAGTATTGCCAGATGGAGAGAAGCTTGACCCAGTTACCGATGGAGATGCGCATTTTCTGACCCATAGATGAGTGCGAATGTGGCTTTGCGGAAGATTTCAGAGCCTCGTCCCAGAGAAGCGCACCCCGGCGCATGATAACGTTAGTGGCGCCCCACACTATACCCACTGCGATCATCTTCTCCATCTTCGCTCCCTCACTCTCCCACCGATCCTCCAACTCAGTTTTTTACACGTCTTCATCATGGGCTGGGCCTCCAACCCAAACTCTTTCTTTACAAAACGCTTCCCCGGCTTTTACCTTTTTCACCCCCAAACTATCATTTATTTACGTAACATCGTATATTTATTTGTTTGTTTACGCAACAATTTTTATATAAATTTAGTTATTTTGATTTTTCACATTTAAATAATCTTTAGAAATAAAAGTCAAAGTTATTGGCTTTAAAATAGTTTTCTAGAATATATAGATATATTTTATGAAATGTGTTGTTATATTCGCCGTGAAAGTGAAGTAATTGACTGTGAAGTATAATTATCTGATATGTTATTATTTTTCGATTATATATATTAATTATGTGATATGTTATATATAATAGAAAGTAGGATGTTTCAGCACATTTATTTTAAAAACATAAATTCGTTGAATAAAAATTGAATACACTGCTTACTCTTTTTTTTTTTCATTTATTGGGATATTCAACTTCACAATTAAAAAAGGACTTGTGATATCATCGGTTAAATAGAAAGGAAAAAAAATACTAAAAATAATATATGTTTTTCTACTTGATTGAATAAAAGATAGAAAACATAAATAAATAAATAAATAAAGGCTAATTTCTGAAAAAAAATCATATTTTACTTCTCCTTCCATTATTGTTTTTCTTATTTCCTTTCCATTCAATCAAACGAACCCTCCGAATATTTGGTTGGTTAAACAATAAATATATTATGATACCCACAGAAGTTACTGATAATATAAAGTGTTCAAAATTTAATTTATTCATTTTCTATTAGCATTTTAGTGTTGTACAATACATAATAACTAATACAATAAATGTTTATCTACGTAATTAAAATTTAGTAGAAATAAGTATTGTCAAATATATAAATCATATTCTAAACAAATTTCATAATGATAAATATTTGTTAACTTAGAAATAAAAAAAATTAAACTCATTTTTAAAAACAAATTAAATTGAAGCAATTAGTACACTGAAGTGGATGATAAATACACAAGCATTTGTTATACCAGGAAAATAATTCCATTAATTGAATAATTTGTTATTAATATATTAATTTCGAAACTTCAAAGTCTTCCTGACTCCAATTGTGTCAACAAAAATCATATATAATAATATCTTCAACAGAAATTTTATTTTGTTCAAAATAAAGGAAATCCCGTGAAGAGATAAAATAGACGATCCGTATAAACTTTCTTTCCATTTTCTACCTTCTCAATAATTCCAATTTTATATGGAATAATCACTTTATATATTTTAAAGTTATTTTTAAATATATTTTGGAGACATGTTACATGAGCAGTAATTTTTTTTGTTTCACGACAATTTCATAAGAGATGTGCTGCAACCTTATTTTGTCTCACGTAATTCTACCCGAGAGTTTTATCAAAGATAAAATTCTACATATAAATTACACCACATCAAAAAATATCTCATTAAAAATAAAATTTACAAATTATTCCGAAAACAGAACTTAGTATTCCTTTAATATATATTTATAGATATTAGTAGAAAAAATAAAAACTGAAGGCGTGAAAGGTAAAATGCTAGTTTGACCCCTCGTCGTCGACGTATGAGAGAGTAGTGAATGGTGAACACGGGATAAAAGAAAGGAAACAGAACACCTAGGCAATCCTCGTGAACATACTAATAACTTAATGAAAGGACACAAATACCCTCGCTTCCTCACTTTTTTTTTTTTTTTCTGCCTTGCCTTTGTGCTTTCCTGTTTTCTGTATGCTGTGTGGCTTCCAATTGTCTTCATAAGGGGGAAGCAGCAACGACTCCGATTCTCAAATCATACGCACACTCTTCTCGAACCTTCGGAACATGGAACGCATAGTTGGCGGCAAGTTTAAGCTCGGCCGCAAGATCGGAAGTGGATCCTTCGGGGAAATCTACCTCGGTGAGTTCTCTCTCTTTATCTCTTCTGCTATTCATCTCGCAATTACAGTTGATTATAGGTTTCTCTGTTCTCATCGTTCGCTTTCGGTTTCGCTTTTTACTGCAGCGACGCATATTGACACCTTCGAGATCGTCGCCGTCAAGATCGTAAGGCTCTGCCTACTGCTATTTGCTTGGGGGGTTTTCTCTTTCTTTCTGGTTCTTTGCTATTTCGCAAGCGCTATTACCTGATTGATTTTGTATGTGCGAATTTATGTGTCTGTTTACCATGCATGAGTTGTTTTGATTGGCGGCGGCTACCAGCTAGGTTTTTAATCCGCTGAAATTGAACTTTACCGTATGTTTTGATGCTTAATTGCTTTCTCGCTTGTTGCAGGAGAATAGTAAAACGAAGCATCCTCAACTTCTCTACGAGGCTAAACTCTACAATATTCTACAAGGAGGAAGTATGCATTTTTCAATTAGAACTTTTTTTTTTTTTTTTGTTTCTAGGTGTTGTCGGGAGTTGGAGCGTATCAGGAGGGTGGTGAATTTTGATTTAAGGTTTTGGATGTTGCACCGTTTTGCATGCAGGTGGAATTCCTAACATAAAATGGTCTGGCATATACGGGGAGGAAAATGTTCTTGTTCTAGACTTGCTTGGGCCGAGTCTTGAGGATCTCTTTGTGTATTGTGGAAGGAAGTTTTCATTGAAGACAGTGTTAATGTTGGCTGATCAAATGGTAAGTTAGTCTTAAATCTTTTGACGGTAAATTTGTGCCTATACATGTTGGCACCAATATGGATTTTATATAAGAAGCAAATAAACCTTATGTTGCCTCAAATGGACTTTATGAATTTTCTATCTGTTGAGCTGAACTGAACTCCCTGCCTCCCTGACCTTTCCTGTCAAACTTACTCCATTTTCCTGTTAGTCTTGCAGTTTTCTTTGATTTAGAAATAGAAAATATGTCACTGAATGTTAATTTCTTGCTTCTTCATATATTTTTAACTATTTTTTGTTTTCTTTTGGACAGATCACTAGAATAGAATATGTGCATTCTAAAGGGTTTTTACATAGGGATATTAAACCCGATAATTTTCTCATGGGACTTGGTCGGAAGGCCAACCAGGTAACTATCTTGTTATTGCCCTTTTCTTGTTTAGCACGTGGAATTTGCCCTTAAACTATTTGCTGGTGTTTATTTAGGTTCCTCATATGTAATTGTACTCTTCTTTTCAGGTTTACATAATTGATTTTGGGCTTGCAAAACGATATCGGGATTCGACTACCAATCGCCACATCCCTTACAGGTGCTTCTATAGGATTCCCTGTTAGTTAGTTCATTAGTTATTTTATTTAATTTGATTTCAACATTTATATCTTGTAATTTTTCCTAGCCTGGTTTTGAATTATTTTCACATTCCAAGCCACTTATTCATCGATTTTCATGGATATATTTTTATATTTTTGTTTGAAAGTTTTCTTTATTTTCTCTGAATCTTTTTCTTCTGATCCATGGTAAATATTCTGGAAAAATACTAACAATAGAAACACGCAGGGAGAACAAAAACTTAACAGGTACTGCTAGATATGCAAGTTGCAATACTCATCTTGGGATAGGTAAGTTTGAAGTTTGAAAAAGTTATTAGACCTTTCAGCCTAAATGGATTTCTTTTGTTTTACAGTTGCTATATTTTTTTATTTTGCAGAGCAAAGTAGGCGGGATGATTTGGAATCTCTAGGATATGTACTTTTGTATTTCCTCAGAGGAAGGTACAGTATTCTGCTCTCCTTTTCTTCTACAAATATTTTTTTTTTATATAATCTATAATGATTGAGCTGTTATATATGTCAAATTTTCATCATTAAATGGCTATATTTCTGTCTAGTCTTCCTTGGCAAGGTCTGAAAGCTGCTACGAAGAAACAAAAGTATGATAAAATATGTCAGAAGAAAGTTTCAACACCTATTGAGGTAAGTTTGGATTATTGGAATATCGATCGGGGGTCTTCTCCACAAATATAATGACATACTTATATACCTATTTATTTGTTACTTTCCGAAGGTACTCTGCAAAACTCATCCTGTAGAGTTTGCTTCGTACTTCCATTACTGCCACTCTTTGACCTTTGATCAGCGGCCTGATTATGGATTCTTAAAGCGCCTATTTCGGGACCTATTTGCACGAGAAGGTGAATATTCTTTTAATATTTTGATTAGTATAACAAAATAAATTGCACAATTGTGCATAACTGTGATAATAAGCTTTTGGAAATATATTGTTGTCTTGGACATATTGTTACAATTATAGATGGGATTCAACAACATATCTTGTTAGGAGACCAAGGGGAAGGAGATTTTTTCTCTCTAAATAAAAATACTAGGAAATTGTAGGGTTTTTGGTATAGAGAGAAGTTAAGGAAATAGAAAAACTGAAAATGTGCTGAGATTGAAATTGATTTTATATGTTGAGCTCAAGAAGGTGAGTATTCTTTTTAATATTTTGAATAATATAACATAAAATAAATTGCACTGTTGTGCTAATAAACTTTTGGAAATATATTGTTGGTCTTGGACATACTGTTATACAGTTGGGATTCAACCAGATATCTTACGAGGAGACCAAGGGGAAGGGAATCTTTTTTTTCCTCTAAATAAAAATACAAGGAAATTGTTGAAATTATAGAGCTTTAGGTATAGAGAGAAAGAAAGGAATCAGAAAAACTAAAAATGTGTTGAGTTGAGATTGATATTTTGATTTTATATGATGTATTACTTTGTGTTATGAAACACAAAGCTCTGGCACTTACATATAATAACACTCGGTTGTAATCCTAACTAAATATGATGTGTTACAAAACGTAATGCTCTGATCCTTATTTATAATATCACTCGGTCATAATCCTAATTAAATATGATGTGGTACTTTGTGTTACAAAATGTAAAGCTCTAATCCTTATTTATAATAACAATTGGTCAAAATCCTAAATAAATATGGTTACTTTATGATTTTACTTTTCTTTTTATGTCAGGTTATGAATTTGATTACATTTTTGACTGGACCATTTTAAAGTACCAGCAATCTCAAAAGAATGCAGTTCTCCCTCCATTATCCGTAAGTATTTGAGCCATCTTCCTCATGTATGAGACAGAGGAATAGGGTTTCTGATTGTTTTGCAACTAGAATCTTGCTTGACTCCTAGCTAATTTAAAGTATGTCATATCACAGTCAGTTCCAGGAGCAAGTAACAGTCGAGCAATTCCAATGGATATTGACAACCGTCAAGGTTGGTTGATTCCTTTTATGTGTGTCAATGTTAACTTTAATTTATTTCATTTAGGATTATGTATAAATTAAATTAGAATTTAGTTTTGTACTTTAAGAAATGTTTTATTACTATTATCTGATTGGCAGTTCTTTATATATTTTCAGGGCATGTTAAGGAGCGTATTAGAGCAGGCGATGCTACTGGTTCTGGTGTTAAAATTCAGTTTAAATCACCAATGGGAAAAAATTTGAGTCATGAGAGTTCACTTGACAAAAATGTAAGCCATCTTAAAAATGTTAACCTTTTTGGCTGTGGCTGTGAAGCAACATTGAAGTGACAATACTGTGATTGCACACTATTTAACTAAAATTGAACCAATGAGTGTTTAGCAAGCATTATTCAATTTTTTTTTTTGTAGATTTATGAAGAAGCAAATATACCTTCTGCTTCATATTCTCCAGCTAGTGCTTCAAAAAGGAACTACTTGAAGCAATCTTTGTCTGCTGAAGCTTCCAACCCTGGACATGGGCAAGGCAGTAACATTGGCCCTTCAAGTAGCTGGATGTCATCTCTGCAGCACATGTCTTCTGCTAAATGAATGCTAACTGCGGTAATTTTCTATCTTGTTCTTTCTATGCTGTGTGAGATTTATCTTGTAATACAGTAATACTTGTTCTTAACCATTTGTATTTTGTTGTATTTCCAGATATGAAGCTTTAAAGAAGATTCTATGCATGTTTTCTCAAGTGTTTGGTCAAGAATATTCAAGTGCATTCATGGAGACTGCAGATGTGCTAGAAAGTTGACAGATTGGGTAGCTCCTATTTTGAGGCCATTAATATTGCTTCTCTCCTGAGGTGACTACAAATGATTGTGCGGTATTAAACAGACTTCCCAGGCTTGGCCCCTGTGCTGTACATAGATGTCAAATTTGGCACACAACAATATTGTGTATTAATGTTTTCATGTAACATTAATGTGTGAAGTAGCCTAGTTACTCCAATATGTTACTTGATGATAATTATCCTTGCGCCATACAAGTGGCAACAGAGTTTGTTTTAAAAATTCAAAATTGTTTGTCAATATTATAAATTGCAAATGTATTTTCAGTTTCTTTCATTTGGATATCTTTGATATCAGTATTTTAAGTTTTGCTTCTCATGTACGATTTCCTGGTTATATTTGCTGTATAAAAACGAAAGGGTACCTTATTTTTAAATGTCCACACATCATGTTAGGAAGCATCCATAGATGAAATTTTTTTATAATGAGATTGAGATATATAATCTGAAAGAGTTTCACATTATTAATCGTTTTCATGTCAAGTATTTCAATTTCCTTTCTCGTGATCACACGATTTGCCTTTTATGATGGTTAGTTGCACTTTCTTGTTATTCACCAGGTTATCGAAAGTGTACGTTATACTCTGATACTGAAGCAAACATTATGGCTGAAAGATCACTGAAAAAATGGTCTCTGTTATCAAAGGTAGTTGTTGGTGCCTTGACATCTATTTTTAACATAGATGAATATGAGGATCTCGTCACCTAAAAATCAATCAAGATTTGTACTTCATCATTATTTGGAACATCTATCTCATTTTCTTTGAATTATTGAAGTTTTTGGAAAAAAGAAGAGAGAAAAAAATTATAATATCCTGCTACTGTAAAAAATTATTGGTTTATAGAATTAACAGTAGTTAAAAGATTGCAGGCATAGTTGGAATAATTGGATATAGCTAGCATTAGCTAGAATACAGATATTTCCTGCTTCAAATTACCTTTGATTTTAGTCAACATTTACATGGCTTCATTTTCATGTTTCTAATACAGCTATGATGCTCAAGAAACACTGCTATGCATATAGGTTGCACAAATTTGTCACTTTCCTGGGTTAATTTATACTGGCATTCATGGGATGAAGTGTGCAATATAGTTTTATTTAAACTGATGCATATTTCATGTTCTTTGGTAGCTGGTAAATTTAACTGTGCAAGTGGACTATCTGCTCAATTATTGGTTCATGCTTTTTACTTTTGCAGGACTCTTTTAATCAATATTGTCTGAAGGATGAAGATCCGATGGTGCTGCAACTTCTGATAAATAATTCAAAATAACCACATGCAGGGTCTAGGTAAGATTGCATCATGTAAATATATTCACTGCCATACAAGTATTACTGAGCTGATGGGTCAATGTGATTCACATTTAAATGGAAGTAATCATTGACCTCAACAGGAGACAATGGTACTTCAATTTAAGAATGTTGAATCGTCTCGCTGGCCCAGATAGTAATAATTAAATTTGAATTACTGCTACAGCCGACAAGATGAAGGATAGATTTATTTGTTTCTACTTAGTGGTGAGCGAATGCAAAATGTCATTTACCAGTAAAGTTTGCATAGTTTTTGCTGTTTATACAGGTTTTCTGTCTAACATTAAATTGTCGACCCAAACTATGAATTGTATATCTATCCTTGTATATATGATCCTCTAGTGTTCTGAAACTTAAAAAAAAGTTGGTTTGATGAGCTTTGATTGTGATCAATTTTGTGAAAAAAAGAAAAGATTTACACATTGAATTTCCATTTCTTTAGGACTACAAGAGCTTACTTGATTGTAATTTGAAATGGAGGAACATATATCTCGGTTTTCTTCGATTCTATCCATAATTTCTGTAAGGTTCCAATTTTTTTTTTTAATCAATGACATGACCTAATATCATTATTTTTGGTGCTTGTGTCTATGAGTCTCCAAACAATAAAATCTCTACAAAGGAGCCACATGTATCTGAAGGAACAGTTAATGTTCATAGCCTGAAAAAGATTTGGTTTTGATTGAACTGAGTCCCATTCTTAAATAGATGATATTTGTGGTTCCATTGCTAAACAGGAATACCTGTAGCTCAGTCTATGAATCCTTTCCCCATTTGTTCTTTAGCTCAGTCTAATTGCTTATTTTGTTCCTGAATAATTATTGTTTTTGTGTTCCACTCTGAACTTGCAGATTTTATATGCAAGTTTATTTTCTCTCCTATATTAGATACCCCAACATTAAACCTTCCTAATTCAAGATCTCCATGTTTTGGTACAAGCAACAAACAAAAATTATGTCGAAATATAAAAAAGATTGCACAGGGATTGTGAAGATTGCACAGCCGAACAAAATACTGTTTTTATATGTTCGTGTAAAACTTAAGATGTATCAATTACTTCCCAGGTGAGTAAATGGAAACTGTGCCAGACACAGAGGAAAGCAGCATCCGTGTCCTGCATTCGCATTGCTGGAATGCTAGCGGACTACCAGTAGAACTATTTATTTTCAATAAATGTAGACGAATATTATTCAAATTATTATACTGTACTTTATAATCTAAAAGTATGGCTAAAGATCTTTGATTGTGTCTGCTGACGCGTTACAGCCCCTCTGGATATTTCATTTATGGTCTTAAAAGCATGTAATAGTATGGAATGTAGCACCATTATATAGGGGTTTCAGACTCAAATAGTCAATTGATGGAAAAACATCGTTTAATGTATCATGAAAGATAGATTATATATATAAAATAATAAATACAAGATATAACTTGGAGAACTTTCGATTAATGATATATTAACGTGTACAATATATATACTCAATTGAAAATTTTCTGAAAATTTTCTTTGTCAACAGTTGCATGTTATCGTCTATTATATATCTATGGCTGATAATATCATGTTTTATTTAATCGTTTATTTTTTATTTAAACATTAGTTTATTTAAAAGTGTTTTAATATGTAACAAAAAAGTCTATATATTAAAATAAACAAATCAAATGCGGTTCAACAACAAAAAAATATTATCTACATGTCTGTTGAAGAAATTGAACAAAAATAAGATGTTTATATAGTCAATTAATTAACTTTTAGCTCGTTAATTATTTTCAATTTATAACTGTTTCAATCAATTTATTCTTCGATTGAAATTTAGATTTTAAGAGAATTGGATCATCGACTTTTTTAATTCAACCAATTAGTCAGTTTTAATTCTGACAACTATGATTATTATAATATAATAACACAACGATAAAAGACTTCAATACAATGACGGACCAACCCAATGATAGTTATGATAATTAAACAGTGAACATTTAAACTTACCTTAATTATTATTTTCCAGAGATATGCACAAAAAAAAAAAAACAATTGGTAATCCTCCTAATCTTTTATTCATACTATTCATGGCCCTATCAAATTAGGGAACGAATGGACTTGACAACATTTCTTTTGAGCCTCTATTCCTCTTCTTGACTTGTCTGATTTATTTGTGCAATGCAAGTGTATTAAGAAAATGTTTAATGCTAATCTTGCATTACCTACTCTTTGATCTTCATCCTTATAACTATTTGAACTTTATTTTGGTAACGATATTCATGATATACAACTTAACTAAAATATCGACTCTAATACCTAAAATAAATCCTAGAATTCTAAAATAAATATTATTTTATTCACCTTTAAACAAATTCTAGAATAAAAATTTGGAATTTCAGATTTTAAAGCAGTTATAAACAAATAAACTTTGCTTTACAATAACAAAAATAAAATTTCGTTTATTGTATGAGGAATTTAATAAAATAGTTATAAATTTTAATGTGACGAAATAAAATCAATTAGATAAATCAAAATTAAACAGATTTATTTTATAATAAATAGAAACGTTTAATCACGTTGGGACTAAAGAATTGATAAATTTGCTTGCATTGCGGCACAACAAATCCATCCGTGATCATGTTGGTCACATTTTACAAATATTTGACCATACCACGACCTTCTACACTCAATTTTGTAGCCTGAAGCTGCCTCTTTTTTGGTGCCCTCAACTGCTGCAATTTCTTATTCATCTGCGATAAAGAGTTTACACGTCAAATTGATTCACATCTCTACAAATAAAGGTATCAGGGGATTTTCAACCATCATTTTTGACGAGCAATAATGGAATATTTGTTATATAAATTAATAGAAGTTTCAATATTATATAAATAAATAAATTAGCATTCTTATCTTCCTTTATCTATCGAATTCCATATCAGTTTACCGTTATTGGTTTGGTTTATCCTCTCAAGTAACTCTTCCTTAGCTTATTTGGATTTCTATTTGCATTAAAAATTATGTCTGGATGCCCACCATGTCTCAACACTAGTAAGAAACCATAATAAAATTATTTTATCTCACTAGTAAATGAACTAAAAAATCTTGAACAAATTCACGGGTTTTGAAACAATCATTATAAATAGTTCTTGTATAAGAAACACCAAGACATCCACAAGTCACATAGAATAATCCAATGATAAATTTCTTCACTTTGAGTTTAAGAAACACGTTGGAGATGCTCCAATTACTTCTATTTTTTAAATATTTACAACTTCTTACTACACATTGTGTGTGCTCCAGACTCTCAATTAAATACTTGTACGAAGACACCATAGCAAGAGAAGTCCTATATTTTAATATTAATTGTCAAAGAATTTAGAGGATAGTTTGATATCAAATTATTATAAAATTCTAGTATTCCCTTTTTCCACATTTATGCACCAGAAGGTTAGATTACTCTGTCCAATATAATAAGGAAACTCCAATGATATTGTCCAATAGAAACAAAAGTTTAAGCGGATGGATGAAAGTTGTAATTGTAATTATGGAGCGAAGACAAAACTCAACATAAAAATTCAGTTTAAAGCAATTTTCATAATATATTGAGATCAAAGAGCACAAAACAGGATTAGAAACATCATAAATGTCAGAATTAAAAAAACACCAACCTTCGTACGCTGCTGATCTTGGGCAGCTTGCTTTGCCCGGGCTCTAATTTCTTCTGGATCAATTTTAGATTGGGGACGTATCACAAAATCCAAAGGTGTTGCTTCTGGCCTCGAAGTGAGCTGCCTAGACGAGGACTGCCCAGCCCTAGGCCTGCATTACACTCAGAACAATTACAATTCGATATATTTTAGTTATTACTCAATTAAGCGTTCCACAAGAAGTTATAAAATGCCTTTCAGGCCTTACTGTGAAATTTCTAAATCAAGATCACTATCTCTTGATATTCCTGCAGCTTTATTTGCAGGCCTGTAAAATGTAAGATGTCAACAAAATTATATAAATTGAACACATGTTGGAAGAACTATTTATAATACAGAAGAAGCCAAGAAACAGAAAGTTATAAGAGTACTTTTTAACCGACGGTCTCCTAAAAGGAACCCTATCTTCCTCCATATTTCTCATGTCTTCGAACCGGGTACTCTTATTAAATATGGGTCGGCTCTGCAATTAGAAGGCAAAGTTGAGATAAACATAATTTTTATAGTAAAAAAGCAAACTCGCAAGTAGACATAAAATAGATTAACTACTCATAATACAAAAAATATGCACAAAAAGTGATTTCTTCCAGAAATGGTCATTTTTAGTAACAGGATCACGCCATAGTGCCCCAAAACAACAAGACAGAGATACCCTATTTTTTTACTTAGGCATTTAAAACACTACATGACTTAAATTATTATCAAACAGCTTTGAAGAAAGCTTTGTAAAAATGTGTCTGATGGAGCAAAAATTAATTCGTGCATTACTTACCCACTTGTCCACCAGTTCCTTGGCTAGTTTCCTGTTTACGTTAATTTCTTCATCGGATTTTGATAAAAACATAATTACCTGTCAACAAAATAAAAAAAATCCAAAATAATAATAGGTTACAAATATTTGAGGGGTATTTTAGGCCCTATTAAGATAGCAAGTCACATGATCAAAGGAAACCCAACCTTTCCAAGGCCACTCTTCTTCAGTTGTTCTCTTCTATCATACTGCCCTAGGTCTATAGGAAACTGCATAACGAGACAAACAAATGAGATTCTAAATAATATTGGTAAAGAATAATCGCCTAAAATACTACAGTGATGTAAACTCAAATTACATCATTCAAAATCTTCAAAATTTCCGTGCGAATATTTATATTTGGCAAACTTCCATCAGGAAGTGGCTCAAGCCAGTTCTTCAATAAAGTTAGCACTCCATGATCTAAAAACTCTAATTGAAGCTGCTTCCTGCAAAATAGTTGGTGGAAAAATATTAAAATAAGGATAAAGTAACATAAAATATTAGGGAAGTATCAATCAGTACATACTTTGAGAGGACTTCTGTAAGAAGGGTCAACTTCTTGAGTTTATTAATGGCAGGCTTCCCCTGCCTATTAAGATCCGCATCCTCCTCAGCTGTAACCTCAAGCTCAGCCATGACATTCTCAACTAATAAAGCTATTTCAGCAGGACTTCTCTCGTTCTTCTTCCTTTTTTTCCCTATCTTGAAAAGATCCTTGATCTCTTCATCCTCTTCACCTTCCTCTGCCTAGGAATTCCATGCAACAAATGTAATTAATTTCTCAGAAAATTGTTTTCATGTAAGGAAAAACAACACAGAATAGCTTTATTCTTCACCCTCGTAGAAGGTTATTATATATTTCTAGTTTACTAACACTCTACTACTGGTTGCCAGACCTTCTTTGAATCAAAATAATCCAACACACTGAATCTGATTGCAGGACAGCTTAATAAAAAAAAAAAAATTAAAAATGGAGAAAATCTCCAACCTGAGGAGCATCACCAGGAGAACGTGGTTCATCACTACCGTAATAAGCAGGTTCCACTCCAGTGTCATCTATAAAGTTGTCATCATCCATATTCCTGACACCTTCGTGATCATCCTATTAATGTAAACAAAAAGTAGAGATCAGATACAATAACAACCAAAAGTGCAACCCAGAGAATGACCATTATCAAACAGAAAGCAAACAATAATTATGGTCAATCAGGGAGGGGAATTTCATTAAAGCTAAAATGGGGAAACACGAAGTTTATTTTACTTGATCCAAGAATTGATTGAAATAGAAAATACTTCAAAGCGTAAAATAGCTTTTGCGTAGGAGAACAAATTTTATACTTCCTTTCACGTTGAAATCAATTCTAATATGCAAAAACAATACAGTTTCATACAAAATCAATCAAAGAAAATAGTAAAGGCAGCAGTGATACCTCAGAATCTCCCCCAGCAATTGTATCCCACATCTCCTTAACTTCACCATCATGATCCTTTCCAGCCTTCCCACCAAACCCTTTCTTGGAACCCCCAAATTTGGAGCTACCTTTCCCACCATCACTACCAAACCTCTTCTCCCCCTTCAGCCTCTTCTCCTTCTTCCCATTCTCAATCTCCTTCCCCTTCTTCCTTTTCCTTCCATCCCCCTCCTCAAACCTCGCCTCGGGAACATACCCCTCCTCCTCATCCTCGAGCTCCGGCGCCACCGACTGCTTCCCAGCGTCACCCTTTTTGATGAGCCTCTTCCGCGGCTTCGAGCGCGCCACATCGTTGTCGTGCACCGGCGTCTCGCGGCCGCGCCACTCGTCGACGTCCTCGTAATCATCGAGTTGGTGGCGCGGCTCCGGAGAGGGCTCGCGATCGGATTGAACGTCGTCGTAATCCATCAAGGGCTCCCCGTCCTCATCGCGGTACCTGAAAATAAATTTAAAAAAACGAGTGAATCGCAGAAAGCAAACCCCCATCGCGAAAGTAATCGAAGAGAAAAAGGAAAAAGAAACGCACGGATCATTTTCGAAACCCATGGATGGATTGTGGGCGCGGCGTGTGATGGAAATTGGAAATCACAATTGCAAATGAATTGAACAAGGAATGTGTTAATGAATTGAACAAGGAATGTGTTGTGTTGGATTTAGAAGAAAGAAAAAGTATATGAAGAAGAGAATGAATGCATGCGATTGAAAAGGATCGATAGCTCTTTATGCGAAAGGAGCCTCTGTCCAAACCAATGGCGGTCGCAGAGATCTACTCAGAGCATTCCTAATGAAACACAAAGAGTTGTTTTAACAAAATTAAATCATATTAATCTAAAGTAAAAACTATTATTAGTTATTTCAAATAATTAAAATCCTTTTTATTTATTTATTTTAATTCCATTTTTTTACCGAATTATAATATGTATATATGTATATTATATTCTTAAACCACCGAAACATCTAAAATTAAATTGTAATATAATTGAATTAAAAGATTAAATTCTATTATGTTATATTTGCGTAAAGATTTCAATTTTCTTTTGTATATTTTTAGGGTTTGATTTTTATATAAAAAAATTATTTATTTTAAAATTTTAATTTATTATAATTTTTTTAAAATATCTAAGTAAATTGTAAAATAATTATATATATAAATTAAGATTTTGATTCTTAAGTGCTATTGGGACTTATAAATCATTTTTAAATATAATTTTTTAATTAAAGATTCAAGAAAAAGAATAGAGTAAAATGATACTTTATATTTTAACTTGGTGAATATTAATATTTTATAAGAAATGAAATTGTTTGAGTCTCATTCCTATTAATATCGTTAATACAAAAAAAAAAATTCATTAAATACGATTTTATTTTGCAGTAGTATTATTTGGGTAAAAAATTACTCAGATAAAATATTGTGCCATATAATTCCGCAGGTAGGGAGTTATGGTTTCATAATTTGAGTTGAATTCTGACCTTTAATTTCAAGAAAATGGGTCGAAATACCAGTTGATATTTAAATTTTTGTTTTTTATTTTTAATAAATTAAGGAAAGAAAAAAATGATAAAAATAATAATTTATAGAAATAAAAAATAAAATCATATAAGGAATAATAATTAATTTAATAATAATTTTGGTGTTAAAAATTAGAAAAATACATAAAAATAATAAGATTATATAATGAAAAATATTTGAAGTGTTTAATATAAATTTAAAATTGAGAAAAATAATATAATTTTATTGATTAATATTAAAAAAAAGTAAGTAGTGCAAAAATTAGTAAAATAAAAAAGAAAAGGATGTTTTAAGAAAACTTATTTAAATTTTGTTTAATTTTCAAATTATGGTAGTTTATTGTATTGAATTAATTAATTGTAAATAATAATTTTATTATATTTAATTTTTTTTATTTAATTATTTACATTTGAAGTGAAGATTTTTTATTTATTTAATTATAATAGTCATCTATATATATATATATATATATATATATATATTAATAATATATTGTATTAAAACTTAGAAACAAATAAGAAATAAGGTAGAGTACGAATTTAATATTTGAACATTTATTTAAAGATAAAATAAAATTTTAATAAAATAGTTGTAAAGGAAATGTACAAAGTTGGATGAACATTAATTAAAATAAAAAACGTATATATAATTAGAAAAGTTTAGATATTTTAATATTGTTAAGATCGACATAAATATTATTTTTTAAGTTAAAAACAAATTTTGTAATGGTTGGTGCTCATAGATCTTTTCTTTGGATGAATAGTTAAATTGTGTCCCATAAATATTTATATTGCTTAGTTGAATGTAGAAGTTAAGTTTATTTTCTTACACTTGATCATTTGTGCAATATTAGTATCAAATTTAATTTGAATTGAATTATGTACAATTTGGTTATTATCCATTGTTATTGGATGACGATAATTGATTTATGTGACTTGTTTGTAGTCTCTATATTGCATAAGTTTAGTTATGTTTTATAACAATTTGTAGTCTCTATATTCTTGGGTTGTCACATCTAGGAAAAACTAAAATTGTTTGGATTTTCGATTATGATAACACTTTAGATAGGTGTCTAAAGTAAAGGATGAGGTTTGAGTCTATAGAATAAGTTGTGGTACATGATTTTAGAAGACTCATTATTTATTCAATAGACCTTATGAACTTAGTATATAGTTAAATAATTGTATTAGTAGGAAATTGGGATTTACAATTTATCATTTCATACACATCAAGATCTATTGTTATTTGAGTCACATGATATGTAATTACATCATTCTCGTTTATTTTTTGTTGTTGAAAGTACAACTTGAATTATGTATTGTTTGGAAGTTTCAAAGTTGTGTAGACTTTCTCCTTTACAAGGGTGAAAGTGCAGTGCAGTTGTACGGTGTCTGAACTAGTTTTGGATTCGCGCATTGAAATTGCAAAACCTTCGTCACATTGGTTTATTTCACCATTAGCAAATAAAGCGACAACATAGGAATTAGAATAGTTTTTTGTCTTAATGATGTCGAAGTGTTCCATGTGAAGATAATGAAGTATAATGTTTGATGTGTTACATAGAGTAAGGTCTGATTGGGTTTGTTAGGAGAGGAAGTCTTGTAGTTTAGGGTTTAAGTGTAGTGTATGATGTATTTTGTAGGGTTAAAGTTGTGTTGTGTGTTATTGGAGATTGACAAGTGTATTTACAAGGTAAATGTTGATGTGGATGTGAAGGTCCCATGTGACCTCTATTTGTGTCACAAAGTGTATGTTGAATTGTTCACACATATAACGGTGTCAAAGTGACGGGTTGGCTCAACACAGGTTGAATTAAAAATAAGTGAGCTCAATCCGGCTCACTTTATGGCGAGCCAGAAATTTCATAACTCAGCTCAACCCATTACGGGTTGGTGGGTTGACTCACTAACCCACATTTTTTTTGTTTTTTTTTTCTAATAAGCACAACTAAATAGCGAGACTGAACGTAATGATGTGGTGACACAACAAACTCTGTAATGCAACTAAAATGCGGCAAACACTATGATATAATTTGTTAGACAAATGACATCTAGAGATGGGTGAATAGATACATAAATCAAAATACATGTCAAATTAAAAATTTATTTTAGATGTCCAATGACTTCTTAATTCAATTTTAATTATCAGATTGAATTTAGATAAAGCGGAAGCAATATAATCAGCAAGGTATAGGGAAAAATACAAGCGCACAGATATAGGGAAAACAAAAGTCAATAGTCATAAAGTGAAGACAAACACACACAGTAATTTATACTGGTTCGGGTATAGTCAACCCTACATCCAGTTCTTAGTCACTTCTAACATAAGAGTGACCCTAATTCACTATCTTTCAAATTAAAATCAACTCAGCAGAGGAACCAGTAAAGAGTAAACTAATTAAAAAGACAATCAATCACCTCCTTAGAATCTCACTAAGGATGAACACCTCCCTAGAATCCCACTAGGGATGAACACCTCCTCTGAACAAATCAAAGAATGAAAAACACCTCATTTGCAACTAACACACAAAGGATGAACATCTCTTTAGAATCACACTAGGGATGAACACCTCCCCGAACAAATCAAAGGAATGAAAACACCTCCTTAGAATCCCACTAAGGATGAACACCTCCTATGAACAAATCAAAGGGATGAAAACACTTTCCTGAACAAATCAAAGGGATGACAGTAGAAACTCCAAACACAAACATACTGCTCAAGAAACAGTGCAACCACCTAAACCCTAAAAAAGAGATTTAACATTAACCACTTAAACCCTAAACAGGGAATTTAACATCAACTTCCTAAGCCTTAAAAAGGATGAAGACAATAAAATAAGAACAGTCACACCTGGGTAATAAAGATAACAAATTATAGAAGCCTGTAGAATGATAACTCCAAGAACACAATGTGATTGACAATGAAAGCGCAGAAGACAATATGAAAAAGTTTTCTCAGAAAACCTAAAAGTGCTCTGTTGTCTTGCTCATAATTCTTTTCTCAAAACTGATTGAATGTAAATTGAATTTTCGAATTCTGTAATTGTGTATTTTTTATTTTTCATCAAAACTCATTTAAATAGAAAAATAGCATAAAAAAATAGTCGTTGATCATTAATAATTTCTTAGAGAAAAAATGAGGATGTATTAAAAAACATTTATTCTTCAAAACGAATATATTTTTCAAATTTGAACTGCTATAATCGATTATGACAGAGAGAAAATCGATTTTCCATTTCTAATGCATCATAATCGATTATGACAGTGAAAAATGTCATGTTACGAAATTTTATCACACTTGTGCTTTGGAGGCTTATGCATAATATCACTTCATCGACTTGTACCTCCATATCCAGTATTCTAAGACTATATCAAGTCTTCAGGAATCATCTTGGACTTGCTTGAATCTTGAATGGTTTGAATGATCATATCTTGGGCTTGCTTGAGTCTTGAATGTTATTGACTTGAATAATCATCAAAATCATCTATTGGGAATATAGGGACATGTTTAACATTGTCATCAATCTCCCCCTCATTGCTTTCACAACTGAAACACGATAATGTGGTGACGTGACGAATGCACTGGTGCAACGAATTCGGTGGCGTGACAAACATTGTGGCGTTGGCATGACAAAAGTTATGATGCAATTGAAGTGCGAAACTGAAACACAACAAACATTAAAACGTAGTTGATGATAATCTTGAGTGAGAGTTTGACTTGTAGTAATGATATGGAATAGAGGTGGAGAAAAAAACATCAATTAAAATTACTAAATTATTATTAATTATTTTTTAAATTTAAAATGAATGGTGGATTGTAGGTCAACCCACAATAACCCGGTTTGAACCCACTTAACCCGTGGGTTAAGTGAGCCAAGTTCATTTTTAACCCATTATCGGCAGAAATGAAAAAAATCGAACCCAACCCGGCTGGAACCCATGGTGAGTCGGGTTGGCTCACGGATTAGAACTTATATTGACACCTCTACACATATCCTAAGTCACTTTATTCACGCAATACATGTTAGGGTAACATC